CATATCCATTTGTAGAACAGTATATACATATGTATATAAATATATGCATATGTATATATATATATATATATATATATGTATACACCACATGTGTTGGCGCACGCAAGAGTTGCTTGCATGTGGGGATTTCTTTGCAGGTCTGGCTGCAGCGACGTTCATCCCAACAACAGCTCTTTTCCTGCTCTGTGTGCAGCAGCTCTGCATGCAGCAGCAGCTCAGAGACCTGGGTCTGCTGCAGCGAGGACGCGGCCTGTCTTGAGTTGCAGCTATCTCTATCGCTTTTCTATCCCCGCAGTAACCCCATAGAGAATTTTTCAAAACGAATTTGCTCTTTTGTAAACAAAAAGCCAGCAAGCAAAAGTGCATGCACAAGCTTCACGCAGGTATTCTACATCGGCCCCCCAACCTCCCCCAGAAATTTCCGTATTATTAAAAAATGTACGTAAGCGATGGGAGCGGAGAGAGGGGGAGAAGGAAAGCGATAGAGGGGTGTGAGCGCGAAACAAAAGGCGGGGCTCAGATCACAGCAGGAACATGGTTAACCCTGGATATGTCATAGATAAAAATGTATGGGGTTGTCTATACAAGCGCCAGAGAAACTTTCAAAAAAAAAAAAATGTTATACGTTTCTCGGCTTTATACTTTCTGCTGTTCACGCCCACACTTGTACTCGCCGTCGCTACATTGAGGAGGCCGCATAGATGCTCATGAGGGTTTGCTTCGCAGAACCGGTCCTCAGAAACCCACTCGCACTGTCGTTGGTCTTGTAGTGTAACATACTATTATCCTTTTACTTGACCGCTGCATTTATTATATATATATATATATATATATATATATATATATATATATATATATATATATATATATATATGTATATATTATTTATTCCAGGGGGAAACTCTCCCCACCTTTCCCATACTCCTTCTCGCAATGAACTTGCTGCTGTTTTGTGGAGAAAGCTGGAGGGGATGTGGGTGGGGGACTCTCTTCAGCAGCGCGGCATCGATGGTGTGATGGCATCTCCAAGTTGATAAAAAACTTGCAGTGCAGTGTAAGCCACCGCGCCGACGCGAGACCGAACAGCTAGGGGCTCTACCCCACCGCATGGGAGGCTTTGTCGGCTGGTCCGCGTTCTGTGTGGTAAATACTAAACCCAAAACTGCGAATCCACTACGACCAAGTCGGGGGTGAGTGCTGGGTGGGAAGCGGGGGGAGCGGGGTGGTGAAAGGGACTGCCGAACGTCGTTTGTCTTATCCCGGACGTCTTTTGTCTCAGTTTTTACCTGGTGTTCCTGTGTTTTCTTTTTACATTCTCTAGTCGCCGAAGGTTGCGTACAAAGGTCTATGCCTCGGGGTGTAAGGGGCTGGCGAGCAACAACCAGGTTCAATGTCAGATCTGGCGAAGGGGTTACTGTGCATACAGGGAAATATATCTCTCTAGAGAACGGTGCTCATTGCATTAGACAATCAAAATTTCTATAACAGCTGGTAGCTCTCAGCTGGAGAGTTGTAGTGTTGTACTATGACTTCACAGCGCAGAATGCATGCAAACAAGCCTCTCTGATTAACCCTTCTCGATAGATGGCAGCATGTACTGCAGAAGCCGCACCTGCGTCCCGCTTGTGCGTTCGTACCCTTCACAGTTTTTACCAGTGGTAAGCCGCCTCATAGATTCACGTCAGCTTTCTTAACAGCTTTCCGTTTTCCGAAGTAATCATACTTCTGGTGAGTCAACGACTTGTTCAGACTGTCTCGGTGAATGCTCTGCTCGTGCCCTCTGTCGCTGGAAAGAGAAACAAAGTGGGTCTATCTGCTGAGCCTCTCCACAAGCAACGTAGATGCTATCCTAAACTCTGTGAANGAGAAACAAAGTGGGTCTATCTGCTGAGCCTCTCCACAAGCAACGTAGATGCTATCCTAAACTCTGTGAATGCTCACCAGCTAAAATTGCGGTTCGATAGACCCTATTAGCCGCCTCTATCCGCGGAACCTCTTACGGGGCTTACTGTGCCCAGCTGAATGCTGCACAAGGACAAGAGCAAGGAACAGAGACTACGTTGGTCTGCATAGCCACCAACGCCTCGCGGTCTGTCTTCGCAGCTAGCAGCTAGCCGTAGCTATCTGCCTACAGGCAGCTAGCTAGGGAGAATATACTGTGACGGCAGCAGAACAGGAATTAAAGAGATTTGTGAACAACTGCTCTGCGCTTTAGTGGTTGTATGTTCTATAGTATATATAATATATAATTTAATATATATAATTAATATTAATATAATATAAATTTAATATATATAAGTGCAGGTGGGTATCCAGAACAGTCCTAGAGGGTATGCATGAAAGCAGATCCTCGCGTTCACGTTTGTGTAGATATTCTCTTCTAGTAAGCCAATGATATATAAACAATTTATTCTATTTATTAGAGTGCTGGTGCATGCGTGCGGTGGGGGCCCCAGGGTGTTTGCATGCGCTGCTGCTGCCTCTGCTGCTGAGCTGCAGCAAGGGTTGCTGCAGCACAGCAGAGGAGTAATCTCCTCGTCTGCAGTGTACGGGCCTCTATGAAGTTGTTGGGGGCCCTTATTATACTATCTCCAGGTGGTTTGGCTTGTTGGATTGTGGAGACCTCTGGCTAGGGTTTAGGGTTTAGGGTTTAGGGTTTAGGGTTTAGGGTTTAGGGTTTAAGACACAGAGAGGAGAAGCTCTGGCGAAGCCGATCTGTATGGGCCAGCGGTCTGGTGGGTGTCGGCGGTGGTTAGGGTTTAGGGTTTAGGGTTTAGGGTTTAGGGTTTAGGGTATAGGTTTCGTGAGCCCTGGTGAATAATTATGAAGAAAAAAATATCCTTATAGGGGTTTATCGGGGATATATTCAATGGAAGTAGCCCTAGGGTTTAGGGTTTAGGGTTTAGGGTTTGGGGGGCGCGGGCGAGAACGGTCTGGGGGCTGCGGCAGGGTGGGTTTGGGGTGTATATGCAGCAATCTATCTAAAAATTAAATATAAAACAAGTTTTATTTCTTTATATGAATGGTTTCCCCCCTCTTTGAGGGTTTAGGGTTTTGTTGGCAGTCCTCCATAGGCTACACCTACTGTACCGAGCTGTTAGGGTTTAGGGTTTAGGGTTTAGGGTTTAGCGTTCCTTCTTTACGCTTTCCCCAGCCACAAACCCTAGAAAACCCAACAAATTCTCTTCAACTGTATTCTTGCGAAGGCATCTACGGCCCAACCTTCACGAAAGTCCTTGGCGTAAAGGGTTTAGGGTTTAGGGTTTAGGGTTTAGGGTTTAGGGTATCGGTTTACGCAACTCTGCAGGGGTATTGAAGCAAAGGCAGCAGTCTTCATCTGAAACAAATTTGGCTCCTCACTACAAACCCGGCGAGAGCCACGCCAGGGTCTAGGGTTTAGGGTTTAGGGTTTAGGGTTTAGGGTTTAGGGTTTAGGGTTTACGATGGGGAATCTGCTGGATAGCGAATGCATAGCCCGAGACGCTATCTGCGTCTGTCTTCGACCAGAGCAGGGGGCAGAGGAGAGGGCCACTGAGTTCACTGCAGCAGCAGGAGAAACCCAGTACCAGCCTGCTGCTGCTGCAGCAAAAGCTGCAGCAAACCCTCACAACAGCAGCAGCAGCAACAGCAACAGCAACAGCAGCAGCAGCAGCAGCAGCAGCAAAGCTGCACCTAAATCCGGCCCAAGGTCTAAGAAGGCTCCCAAGGGGGGACAACGTTCGAAAGAGGCAGCTGCTGCTGCTGGTCGTGCTGCTGCTGCTGCACCTGCTGCTGCTGCTCCTGCTGCTGCTGCTGCTGCTCCCTCTGCCCCCGAGGAAGCAGAAAAGGCACCAGCAGCAGCAGCAGCAAAAGCAGCAAGACCAGGAGCATCACCCTCACCAGAAACAGCAGCAGCACCTACAGAAGCTCCAGCAACAGCAGCAGCAGCAGCACAAGCACCACCAGCAGGAGCACCAACACCAGCAGCAGCAGCAGCTGAAGCAGCAGCAGCAGCAGCAGCAGCTGAGGACCCCTCTCGCTGGGTTGTTGACTCTCTCTCTCCTCCTGCTGACCCCCAAGTGCTGCTGCAGATAGCAGCAGAACCACTGGCTATACAGCGGCTGCTGCTGCAGTCTCTCTTTAAAAAGTGGGATCCTGAAGGCAAAGGTGACCTCTTGCTGCTGCTGCTGCTGCTGCTGCTGCTGCTGCTGTTGCTGTTGCTGCTGCTACTGTGGTTGCTTGCTTCTGCTGCTGCTGTTGCTGCTGTTGCTGTTGTTGCTGCTGCTGCTGTAGCAGAACGTTTGGGCTGCACGGCTTTCATCTCCTCTGACAGACCCCATATCTCTTTGCTGTTTGAGCTGCTGCTGTTGCTGCTGCTGCTGCTGCTGCTGCCGCTGCTGCCGCTGCTGCTGCTGCTGCTGCTGCTGCTGCTGTTGCTGCTNTGCTGCTGCTGCTGCTGCTGCCGCTGCTGCCGCTGCTGCTGCTGCTGCTGCTGCTGCTGCTGTTGCTGCTGCTGCTGCTGATTAGGACTTGGGCTTGATTCGCTGCATGCACCTGCTGCGTTTTTGTCTGAGTGGACTTCTTGTAAGGACCCGCGAGATGCTGAAGACAGACTCTTCTCCGCTCTCGGCAGCGAATCCAGTAAACCCTAAACCCTAAACCCTAAACCCTAAACCCTAAACCCTAAACCCTAAACCCTAATTCCCAAACCACAAATTCTAAAGCAAATGCTATAAACTATAAACTCTAAACCCTAAACCCTAAACCCTAAAAACCACACCCCATAAACCCTCAGCGACATTCTGCTGCTCCGCCTTAAACAGCAGCTCGGCTCAACATAAGCAGCAGCAGCAGCAGCAGGAACTAAAAGGGCAGCAGCAACAGCAAACGCAGCAGCAGCAGCAGCAGCAGCAGCAGCAACTTGGGTATATGCGTGTCTGACGGTCTGTTGCATCAGCTGAGAGAAGTGCAGCAGTGTTTGTGGTTTGTTATTTGGGGTGTATATGCAGCTTTATGTTGTTCTTCTTTTCTTTCTCTTGTTGAATCTCTCCGCTGCTGCGAAGAAGAAGCAGCAGAAGTTTTTATGGCGCTGCAGCCCCAAGAAGAACCAAATGGAGATCTTACACTTGAACTGCCTGATGCTCGTGCAGGTGTGTTGTCTCTGCTGCTGCTGCTGCTGCTGC